TGTAGTACAAAATTTGGATACGTCGTTCTGTAATGCGTTACTGTCATTCTGATCCTTTAACTCAATATTTCCACATCATCAGCATAATTCAAAATTTTGTTGTTAATATTTTCCGGCAGGTCGTTCATAAAAATAAGAAATAAAATTGGGCCAAGGTTAGAACCTTGAGGCACGCCGGAACAAACTGGATATGAAAGAGAATTGAAACCTTCATATGAAATCTACTGTGTCCATCCAAGAAGATAGCTCAAAAGTAATTTGACAAACTTACCATCAAACCCAAATGTCTGCAATTTATATAATAAAATGTAATGATCAATGCTGTCGAAAGCACGATGAAAATCAAGCACTGAACAAAGGATCGATTTGTGGTAATACTTCATGGTGATCGACTTTTTATTCTGACGGATGTTTGGTCCTTGCTACGATTCCACAGCATTACTCTTATTTTTGTTCTAAAAGGTTTTAATTATAACACCTTCTATATTGTCACACAAGACATGACAATATATAGACTACCACAGAGCTCCAAAACATTTTTTATTGCACACAAGTTGTAAAATTGCTTGACATACGAGCCGCCACTGATATGGTATTATACTAGGGCTTGCATGTTTTTATCCACGTAATCTTAAAATTCTATCGGAATAGTAGAAGATAGGAGGGTTTTTCTTTTTTCATGGATATATATGGTGTAAAAATGATGTCTTCAAATACAAACCGAATAGGAAAAAAATTATGTTTTCAGTTTTGTAGAAAGTATTGCTTGAGAGTCACACAAAATACGCCAGTACGACAGTACCATGAATAAACAAAATTTTGAGTGTTAACTGGGTTTAAATTACTGCTGATTGATGAGAATTATCGTAGTAGCATCGAAAAAAAATACCACCGGCACTTTGAGAAATCTTATTGTGTTGCTTTTTTTTTTTGTTTCATTGTTTCTTTACTCTTACAAGCACACGCTTTCTAGGTGCTAGTCAACAAGTTGAAAGTTGTTTTTTTTTCTACAAATTCAAATTTATTTCTAACTAAATTTCAAGGGAAGGGGAAAATTTACTAGAGACAAGAAACAATACCAACAAGCGTTATTTCACTTTAATCTGTCTTAAAAGAATAACTACACCTACCCAGATTTCAAACATTCCAATTAATATGTCACTATTACAATAAGTTTATTTCTGACAATATGTAAGTATATTGGTACAAAATAAACCCATACGCCGCGTCGGTACGACGCCGATGGGCCGTCGAGAACTTTCTGGTCTGTACACCGATGATGACTCATCGTCAAAGACAGCGATCGAACGACGGAGCCCTAAAGGAAGGCCTGGAAGCGGCAGTCGCGACCGGCAATCGAGGAAAATCCCGACCGCCGCACATCTAGAACGAGTATGGGTTTAAACAGAGGCCACCTTCGGGAACGAGTATTATTTAGTCAATCGAGTTCACGAGAGTACAGTCAAATTGCGCCGGAATTATTTTGTACATAATCACTGTATAATAATCAATCGTGTAATTCGAGTTATTAAGAAATAAATTGTTGAGTTTAACCACGCCGATTTTATTCACCGATCAACGTAACAATACAGTAAAGGCAACGACTATCGGAGAAAATCATGCTAAAAAATGTATCTATTTATTCGATAATTCATTATTTTAGTAGTTATCGTTTTAAATACAGAGTGACCACCAATTGCGTCATATTTCAAGAATAAATTTCTTGTGCCTTACACATTATATTTCATTCATAAAAAGGATTCTTGCTAGCAGTGGAGACATTTATTGATTTCTATTGGTTTGTTGACGTCAGTAATTTTTGGTTGTCAGCGTTTCACATAAGGGTTGTACGGTTAATAGCCGCACAAAAATTATAATATCTTATATGGCCTTTGTCTGAATAAATTTGAATAAAAGATGATGCAGGGTGAAGATAAAATCATATTTATATTTTTAACTGTTTCAGTACACCTGTGGTTGTATAAAACTGTTTAGATTAAATCATACAAACAGAAAGAATAACCTTAAATATTTAACTAAACTAAATTAATTAAATACTAATTTAAAAACTGGCTCGGGAATTTATATGTATTGCTTTCTGAAAACAAGATAACGTTTTCTAAAAATTGTTATTTAAAAAAAAAAAATTAACAGTAGCAACGAAAACTCTTTGATACCTTTTTTTTGTATATTACACAAACACTAAAGAAAATTGGAATAAATGTTGTTGGAAAACGAAGTTCTGTTACTGAAAGCGAGATGTAAAACACACCAGACGTTTATTTTACTCGATAGACGCGTGTTGCTACTAAAGAGTTTTTGTGAATTTCGTTTATTGTTTTTGGAAGTGAAATGAGTGCAAATATATTATATTTTTACAAAACTGTTCAGAATATACATTAAATGATAAATATTTAGGTATATTATTTTCCAGTTTGGGGCCAGTCAGCTTTTTACAAAGAGAATTTTTTGTTACTTTGTAGTATGGAGTAACAAAAAAATTAATATTATACCGCTGAAGAATATAGTTATATTTTTTGGACAAATGTTAGATACTTAATAAAATAGAAAATTCTAGTTAAAGCATGAAAGCAAAAAGTGTATAGACTGTAAATGAATATATATATATCATACATACTCACTTCTAAAGTTATGTTATATGTATTCTCCACACCAGTAATTTAATTTATTCCATATTTCACCACTTAATGCTGTTAGCGACTTTTTTTGTCAATATATTTGACCTACAGTTTTTCTTCCAGAGCTACGGGAAGGGCACCATTTCCAGTATACCTATCTGAATGGAACATGTCTCTTTCTGTAAGACTACCGACTCGCTGAATGAATATAAATTCAGATGACGTCATCAATTTTTTGGAAGGGGATAAAAGGATATTATTGATTAAAAACTTACCATGCTTACGATAACCTTAAAACGTTTGCAAGGTTTCAGAGTACTTGGTTTTGTAGTTTCAAAGTTACGTTGCAAAATGTTTCGGAGATTATCTGTCTAAAAAAAGCGATACAGACGATCTGACGGATCAATGGACAGACGGACGGACGAACAAACAGACGAAAACGGGAGACCCATTGTTTTGTATTCTTGGTATCGTGAAATGTCGAGAAAATATAAAAGTAGCAAGTCCGATAGCCCCGATTACAATATTTCCTTGGCTTACGGTCACGAAAAAACGAAAAATTTACCAAAAAAAAAAAACCTTCGTTACGTATTTTAACTTACAAGTGCAGCATACAAAGTCGAGAACGAAAAAACATGCAAAAATGCAAATACATTTGACAAGACTTAACAGGGTATTAATTCACTAAAATTACCAAAAAATTTTCAGAAAATTCAGGAAATTCTGGTATGAATAGCGTATGAAAAAACCTTGACTGATTCAACTGAGTCATGCCATTAAAACTAGTTAGTCGTTATACCTGGTTTAATACTTTATTATTATTACACCTTTGTTCCATCACTGTTAACCATTTGTACCATAAAAGACCTTTACTGGCACTTTCAGTTTTCATGATGCAACTATTTTCTGGAGCTCTCATTACCCCATTATATTTTACTCCCCTCATTTCACAGATAACGACGTCATTTCTAATAAGTAAAACTCCAACTTTTTTAAATAATTTTTAATCTATTTAAAACTAAAAATCAAACGCTTTCTTAAATGAAGTAATTATCCGCAGTAAATTGTTTTTCTAATTTTTTTACTGGTAGTAGTTGGTAGTAGTTTAGTAAACTGAACACTAGGTTAAATATCTTTTTTAACAAATGAGAACATTTTCTAAGTATTTGAATTACGTACAGGGTGAATAAAGTGCGAAGTGCAAATGTAAAATAGCTACAAGTGTAGGTATTGGGTATTTAATTGAAAAAATCATCACGTTGGCCTCGTTTTTTGTAAACATTGTGAAGTAGGTGTGTCTACAGTTAACTTAAACCGTAATTGATCACAGGTGACAATGTGGAAAACTATTTCTGTCAACAGAAACAACGCCAAGTTGATGACTTTTTCAATTGAACACACTGGTTAAGTTAACTATGTACATATATGCCTATAACCATTTTGCTAAAAAGATAGAACAATTTTTAAAAATCTAAATATATTATTTTCCATGTATCCAAAAGGTAATTAATATAAAAATCTGATTTAATAATTTAATCGGTTCACTACTACCCGTAAGCACTAAATAACGAAAAAAATGTCAATTTTACGATAGCAAACACGATTTATATTTCTAACGCTATTTCTACAGAACTGCCTTGGCGACAGCGAGTGATGATACCAATAACAGTAGGATAGTCTTTAAAGAAAGTGAATAATTTAACTCAGCAGACGTCAGATTTTGAAACTTTTTTATGACCCCTCATTATCGTTTGAAACTTTGTTGTAACAAAAATTATCACTGCCGTAAAGTACGTCGATATTAAAAAACAAACTTCTGTTAGGTAGCAACCTGAAATGAACCACAAACTACTTCAACATTAATTACCACGTCCGCGGGAGTATTTATTTTCCCTAGAGGCTCTAATACATAGAATGAAACTTCACTCATTTTTTGCGTGGTTTTAGTGGTTTTTTGAAGTTCCGGTGCGGTAGGCGTACTAGTTATTATCCACCCTATAATAAACGCAATTGTATCTGAATATAAACGTATTTCATTTGTTAAAAAGTGATGCTAAGACGAAAAACCAAATAGTTAAAAAGTTTTTATGAGAAAAAAGAACAAACATTTTTTTCTACTGTAAAGCATGAAAACATGAATTTTTAAAATTAAAAACTCAACGATGGCTTCGTTCAATTAAAAGAGACTCCTATATATTATATGTATTTATAAACATTTTAGTATTCACTGATTTATACATTTATGCATATTTTCTTCTTTTCTTGTTCCGAATCCTGATCTTTTATTGATCGCGGGCGCACATAAAAAGGGTCGCTGCTGGGAAACACATTTCGCTGCTTTAAATGAAATAAAAGTAGTAATAAAAGTTTGCAGAAAAAAATAAAATTCTATTTCTAAACAATACATTAAATGTAGCAATTGTATAATGATAAAGATAAAATAATATTTAATAATAATTGCAAAAGATCATTGAATATAAATAATCTCATAAAAACACAGTTCCCTGAACACTTGGACGGCTAAAAAGATATAATATAAAGCACCTACATAACAAACACAATTCTATTCTAAATTCTAATTGTAGAAGAGTTATTTAATTACTTACTCATTCTACAATCTACTTCATAGTACGGGTGACTCATATCTTGCTCAATGTATATATGTACATTTAATAATATACTTAACATTAGTTAGGCAATTAATTGTAAGGCTTACTTTCTATCTAATCAGTGAGAGTAACTATTATTCGATGTTGCACAGCTTTGTACCTTTCTTCGTGATAAACAAATTTTCTTAATATCTATATGGAATAGCTACATTTACAAATTATATAATTATATAAACTACTTAATTCACGCTAAGAAGTATATTGTGATGTCTATTGAGAGTACAAACTGATTTCAGGCGAATGTGCATTTAGAACATTTGAAATACATAACAATAGTTTCGCTAATATATAACAAACTACAGTTTAATTTCGATATTATTCAATGTAAAAGCTACACAATGTTTAAATTTTTGTAGCAGATGTAAGTTGCAATCACTTTAAGATAGTTGCAGGTTATATAAAACGTTTAGAAGTTATAGGTACTTTATACGATGTAGGTACGCATAATAATAAACACATATTATGTACTCTGTCCATTCCAGAATGGACTATTCTGAATTTTCTGTGATAACTAAAATGCTTAAGTACTTTGACACGTAACATTTACAGGACCCGATGTTACAGATTTTATTTTGTACGATTGTGTTTCGATATAATCATTTATAATTCGTCGAACCTTCATTAAAAATTGAATCTAACCTAATCTAACCATAACCCAGTGTATCGCTGGAATAGAATATAGCTCCTTAACAGTAAATAATGTGTTTTATAATTTAAAACTACACATGTTTAGTAAAATTTGAAGGAATTCTATTTGAGATGCAGTATACTACGTGTATTTATAACAAGCAGTATGGTTTTTATGATTATTTTATAACTCCAACTACCTATACAAAAGTACTTTGACTATCCAATTATTTTTCAAGCTCAATATATATATATATATATAAAAACTTATTAGTGAAAGTTAATTATTTCCATACAAACATATTTACTATCACTCAAATCTACGACTTAGAGTCATTTGCAGTGCCTGTAGTTGAAGTGATGTGGCAGTTAGTTGCTGTAGAAATAGTAACAACAGCAACATTATTTAAATAAGCATATCTCAAATATTAACCACAAGCAATGTAAATAGACCTCCTTAGTGTAGCATAATTATAAATTTAACTGAAAATAACTTTATCTGTAGGGTTTTATCACATTTACAGGTCCTTCAAAACATATTATAAAACCTGCTTTAAATATTTCTTATAATAAAAGATCTTATATTACTTAATATTATGGCAGTATCAATAAATCCAATTGACTGGCACCCATTGATGTTCAGTTGTTAGAGTGTCCAGGGCCTCTATGATTTGTCGGAAAGTAACATCAAAATCGTTATTAACAATTACCTGATCCACATATTTATCATAAGTTCTCTGCATACTTGCGCTGTCTTCAAGTGTTCGCTTTAAGTCTTCTTCCTATAAAATATATTTATACATCTTCAAAACCATTTTCAAACAAAATGTTTAACAGCAAATATTACAAATTGGTTTTTAATCACGCAAAAGGAACAGGTTTTAAGCAAACCTGATCCACAACATCAATAAATTACTTCTACTTTATATACTTACTTCATATAAGGAGGCCAAAGATTCAAGTGTTCTTGCTCGTCGTGAACTGTATCGTATAGAACTCTGGCGGTCAAACTATCATGCAACAAAAAAACAAGCGAGGTAATAAACATTCTCAAAAAGGAATTAAAGTTTGTTAAAATTACTATTAATATCAATGGATATCTAGCACAGATATTTAAAAAATCAAAACAATTACGCTAAATTCACACTACATGCTACAATCCTGTTGATCTACCTACAATTAAATTTGAATACAACTTACCGTTAAATTTCGACTGGAATATCGTAAGTTCGAATTGCTTTTTCCTACGTCATAAAGGTTTTTTAACTGTTCCATTCCTGGTGCCGCTATGAAAATAACATACGGTAGAAACTCTGAGCTATTGTGAAGAATTTTTAACGCCATCGGACTACAATCTAGTACGCACATTTTCCCCTAAAATTCGTAACACTCAATAAATTCTTAAATACAAAATGGTAAATAAAACTTACCTGTTTTATAACATCTCTGATTGAATCTAAATGTGTACCATATAAATGACCATTATATTCTCCATATTCTAAAAATTTAGAATGCTTGATGTCTTCTTCCATAGATTCACGATCCGTGAACAAATAACTTTGACCGCTTTCCTCTAACACTCGTTGTGGTCTTGTCGTATCTACATTAAAAAAAAACATTATTTGTAATAAATCAAAGATGGTAATTTATAGTCATACATGGCACAACTCCCCCGAACTTCTCAGGGTCACTATTAATCAGCCGATTCTTCAAAGTCCTCCTCCCAACACCTTGTGTACCAATGAGGACCAAAGTTTTCCTCTTAAAAGGCGGCATTCTTGTAACTTCCTCATATAACAGAAGCTCTGCTTTATCGAAGTCACAGTTACTTTTGGATTGATAAATGATTTTTTTCTTCTTTTTTGAAATCCTTGCACCACATATGCTAATTTTATGCACAAAATCAGCTTCGGGTGCTACGAACGCTTTTCTTCTCTCCTCCAGTTCCAAAGATGGGACGAGACCGGTTCTACCGTCTCCACCAACTTTTTTGGCCTGCCACCAGTTAGGATCTCTTTGATCGACGATTTGCAAAATATCGCCTCGGTCGAAAGGTAATCCAATTTCTTTACACGGTAATAGTGTGTCTTCCTCTGGGATGTATTGAAAAAGCGCTCTCATGTAGCACTAAAAAAATAATGTTACTAAAGTGTTTTAGTAAATTAAGTCTGTTGAATTTTGTCACGAAGTTAAAGAAGCGTTACCTTTCCTGCTTGTATTATATATCACTATTTTAGAGCCATATTGAAACAAGTATTTATAAATATTATCAAACTTGATTAGTAAAGTAAAAAACTTTAAATTTTATATTCCTAACTAATCTTCTGATAACCCTTTGACCAAATAAGGATTTTTACTTTTTTGACTAATTATAAAATAGATTTATTAGTCGCGTTTTAATTTCAATTTTTCTAAACGATAGTGTTATTAGTGTATCTGTCTACCATAAACCGCCGTGTTTTAGACTTTTGTTCTTAGCAACTGCTTCATTAATCATTACCTTCGCCACCAACTTTTTTTTAATTTTTATTTTGACCTAGACATACCGTAAGTCTTTTAGCAACTCCATTCGTAGTTCCGTTCATAACAAGTGATGCATGAGTTTCCGGATCTTTCGGTTGACCTACTTTGAGCGTGACCGAATCCTTCGATTTTGCTACTTCGGTTTGCAAATCCTCGGCACTATTTACAGGTGTTCCGTTCACTTCTAAAATAACATCACCAACGTGGAGCAGACCTTGTTTTTCTATCATTCCTCCCTCGAGTATTCTCGCAATCACTAGATTGTCGTTATCATCTAATTGCACCTATTCAACAGATACAATTCGCTAAAATTAAGCAAAATGGCTTCACAATTTTCCCGTACCGTCAAACCGAGGGGTTCCCCATCCTTCTTCCGGACACCCACCATTCTTATCGCCTCCCCCGTCATCCCGTTTAATTCTGGAAATAATTTCGAAAGATCAGTTTTCACGGGCTTTGGATTTTCGCTGATTTGCGCTACTTCGTCGTGGCACTCGATGAGGGATTTAAGGAACGGGTTGGACAATAGATCCAACAGTTCCTTTGCTTCTTTGTTTTTTGATTTGGTGCAGCGTGCGGACAAGTCCTTGATGAGTTCTTTACTTTCTTTGGTGACTGGTTTTGGAAGCACTGGAAGATCTTCTAATTTGTCTTGTACCTGAAAAGAAGTTGTGTGAAATTATTATATACACTCCGCTACAGTGCAGGCCCTAAAGTACATGTTGTTCATTAGCATACTTGACATTTATAATTTGTAAATTTGGTGCATATTGTCAGGCACTGACAAGACATAGATTTTATATAAAAACATGATATTACGGCTTGTTATAGCCAATATACTATGTATATTTTTTATCAAGAAACGTAAATTGTGTTGTTTTTTAAATGCTAATAGACAGCGAGGCAAAATTTATTTGACCAGTCAAACAAGTCTTTAAAAGTAATCACACCGAAATGAGGTAAAAGCTACGTTTAATGATAAATGGAATAATAAATATTACACCACTTTTATACAACATTACCTTTTTTTCGTTGAATACGAAGCGTACTTTGAATGCAAATTTGATTACACTACGTATCATACGCGCATAGCATAATTAAACAATCAAGCACGAATATTTTACAATGTAAATTGTGGTAAAATTTTTAACATTTTTACAACTCATTATGCTGTGTTCATATGGTAAGTGTCTAACTTCAGAAAATAGTGTAAGTAATTTAATAATCAAATCAAATAATTTTGATATAAAAATAAAATTGTTAAAAAAATAGAAATTTCATTTTTGTCGTATTTTCTTACAAATGTACCTACTGTATGATACAAAAAAATTCACCGCCTCCTTATTTCACCAAACAGTTTATTACAATCTAAAAATAATATAAACCCGAATATTGTATGTCATATGCTTTAGTTATACTCAATCAGGTAACAAGAAATGTTCAAAATGACCGATTTTGTTGCAAGTACAATTTTATACCTAACGAAACTACTAGGTACTGTTTCATATACTGCATATATCATTTTTAATGTAATAATCCTTAGCACGTAGAGAAGTAGATTCGAATTCAATAAAGAAAAATTGATCGAAATTTATGTCGACAGAACTTTATTCGCTCCTGAAGTACAAGTCCAACAAATCCCGCTTCTTTGAGAAATTATAAAATTTGATTTTTAATTAAAAATTTTTAAAATAACGCTCCTGCACCCCCCCCACCATTGCTTTCGTACTCTAGGGCCTTGAAACGTCGAGAAAACATGAAACTGGCAAGTAGCCCGATTACTATACTTCTTTAGCTTACGCTCGGAAAGTAATAAAAAAAGACTACAAAGAAAATGTTTTGTAAAATTCTGAAATTCTCCAAAATAAAATTACCAACACCAAAATCAAAATTCGAATTCGATTTAGATAACTTAAAATAAAGGGAACCGCATCTCAAGGTAAAAGAATTTGACGATAATAATCATTAGAAGTTCATTTCCAACCAGAAAATGTTTTTAATAATATTGCTAAAATGAAATAGATAGACACGATTCTACGACAACTGGTCGCAAACAATTGATCGCGCGACAATTGATCGCAAGCAACTGGTCGCAGCACAATTGGTCGCACGCGACAATTGATCGCGGCGACAATTGATCGCAGCGACAATTGATCGCACGTAAATTGATCGCAGCGACAATAGATCGTACGTAAATTTATCGCAGCGTCAATTGATCGCAAGATAAAATTCATCGGGAAGTATTTTCTTTTATTAAAACTAAATATTTTGTATTCTGAATTTTAAGTTGCAATAAATTTAGCAACCAGGTAAGGTGTAAATATCGAATTAAAAACAATTTGAATATAGATAAGTGACGAAGTTTGTAGTTGCACTTTAAAAATTAAAAAATACGAGCGTAAACACCTTGTTACATAAGATTTTTTATTAATAAATTGTCATTTTGGTTATTTTTTTTTAAGAGATTGTTTCTATTTATCTCGTTGCTTATTTTACCTATTATATTATAGGAACTAGCTTCATTATAATAAGTACTCAACATAAAAACAAGTGTTTATTGTTCTTAACTAGATTACAGTTATTTAAAAAATCATATTTTTAACAACCTTTAAATTTTAGCACATTTTGATACAGAATTGCCTCTATTGTCTATTCTTGTCTTTATACATATCACCAAACAATAAAATTTATGAACTAATAGTACATCTAGAGTATCCATATGCAGCGAATGTAAATTCCACTGGACGGATATAATACTTATTTTAATCCCTTGTAAATTGCAACGGATCTTTTACAGGGTTTGAGAAAGGTTTACGTGTATTGTAAATATATATTGCAAAAACTTATTGTTAGAGCGTCAAGAATAATTTTGTGTTACCGGGAAATCTAAGAAATGTAGGTACTTATGCAACTAAAAACTTATTTTTTAATTATTATTATGTGACTAGTATTGTACTGAAGAAACATTCAGTTGTACCATATGTGGGTGTAAAAATACATATACAGGGTTAGTCACGAGAAAATTATTTCTGAGAATTATTTTTACGCAACCCAAAATACGAATACCATGTACCACTTGATACTAACTGAATTTAAAATGAAATGCTTAATTCATGATTGCTTTGAGTTTGGCAATGTCATTTTGACAATTCTGGAAAAAGAGGTTACGCGAGTGTCCATGGTGGTACCGCAGCCAGTTGGAGATCTCCGCTAGCGCCGCTAATAAGTTTGTCAGGGCTTGCTTCGAGTGCCTCTTGATCTTTTGCAACCGATTAATGACGAGAAAATTATTTCTAAAAATTCCTTTTACGATAGATATTTCTGTGACGTGTAAAACAGCTCTCAGATCTAAAAAAAAGGAAGAAATAATTGGTTCGCAGTTTTCCATGAATGACCCTACTACGGGCTACTACCTGATTTTATTCTTCTCCGCACTTTGCATCCTACAAAAATTTACAACATGGGCTGGAGAAGCCCATCACCTACATCCGGCAGATTAGGCAAATAATTCTGAGTGAATAGTCGGCCTTCCGAGTGAAAACTTTTCAAACTTCCGAAGCTAAAAATTAGTCACGCCATTGCGAATAACCACTACTCAGTGGCGTCGTCATCCTGGTTGTTTGTACTTTTTAACGGTATTCACTGTTTGTATTACTTGTTACTCGTGATGTATTGATTGATGTAAATATTTTAAATAATATTAATTAATAGAGAATATAAATCTGTTATGTGTGTTGTTTTATTCAACAAATTTTATTCCATGAGCCGCATCAAAAAAAAAACTGTACGTCACTGTCATCGGCAGTCTTATCTGGGTAATGAGGGGTACAGTTTATGACACTTTACCGGTTTGGCTCGAAACCATCATTTTAAGTCTGGCACTTTCTCCAGTATGAGTATATTCCTTTGCTCCATGGTCAAAACTAATCTTTTTACGATCTTGTTTACAGAAATAGCCAGTAGCGGCTCGTGGTCTTTTCCTTAGGTGAGGCAACATTTTCGTTTTAAAATCAGCAGAACATGTTAATTGTTCGCAATTACTTTTGTTAAAAGACAGATTGTTTATTCCTTTTTATGAAAACAATACAAATAACTCTGGGTCAGGAACATATCTTTATATGGATACACTTGTCGAATAAAAAACATTTAATTGCTTCACACAAACCAACGAGAAGGTGTAAAGACTACAGAATTTGCTTTATTAGCATTAAATATTAATTCATATGATCTAGGGCTGATTTAAATATATTAATAATCAATTAATTAATAAAGTTCTGCTCAAATCTGGATAAGAGGTTTGTAAATCTTTGACATACAATTGTTCGTCGTAAGAAAACCGTGCTTAAATATTTAAACTTTATAAGAAATTCTGGAGAATAGAAATTCTTATGTTCCTATCAGCATTGCAAAACTGCCATTTTCATTGTCCTACTGTTTTTAAGTTAACTTAAAAGTTTTAATACATAACCTTGGCAATGCACATGCAGTGAACCCCTTTCCTCGCGTCTAATTAATGCACAACTAAATACATTCAGCATCCCTGTTCAGCATTGTGCTATTGTGCAGTTTCACCGTGAGATTAAAAAATTCGATCTGATTGGCTTAAGGACGGTAGGCGTTGGTGCCTCCGCTGGCGCTTTGATAAAGCACTGATGACTATTGTCTTTCTTACAAACATATTAGCAGCATTGACTAATCGTACTGAAGATATCCGTCTATCTGAGGCATGCCTCCGTCTGAAGCTGGCCTACACGGTGATGATCAGAGTTTATTCCTGTTGAAAGCGCGTACTTCAAAATATGTTACCAAGATGCGTTTTAATAAATCACAGTGTTCTATAATAGTATATTAAAGAACGAGTTTCATAAGGCAAATATTGAGGCACGAATCCAAGTTTATAGAACGAGCGGCGAAGCCGCGAGTTATATAAAGGATGAGTGCCTCAATGGCCTTATGAACGAGTTATTTATACTATTTTTTCTACCGCACACGTTTTTTCCCAAAATTTAATTGAAATTTGCATTTTTTTTAATCTGGGGACTTTTGTCGTGGTTGGTGATGAGTTGGTCTGACACTAACCACGAAATATTTGAGGTTCGAATTTTCACAACAACAACTGTAATTCGAATCAATTCGAGTTTTTGTAATTTAAAATTGGTTAAAATGTCTTGTGAAGAAGTTACGCGTCCGGAAATATGGGAAATTTTAAGTTTACATTTGCCACTGACATTCACCTGACATTTCTCGTCATGGCTGCCAATCTTACCGATCTAAATTGCACCAGATCTATTAAAGAACGCCTTTCCGCTATTAACGAACTGCTGTGACGACATTTGCGTGCGTTAATAGCTCTATTAGAAAACCAAAAAACGTGGGCGGTAGAAAAAAGTTATTTGCTATATCTTTAAAATATGTATATTTCAAGTTAAGAGATATTAAAACAAAAACTAATAGTCAATTTTTCCAGGGGAGGCACTGCCTCCCCTGCCTCCCCTGACGAGCCGCCACTGGAAATAGCGTAAAAGTGGAGATTGGTATGTAGGTACTTAGCAAAGGGAACGAGATAAATTATTCATTCTGTCGTATCTATAAGCGCCTTATTAACAGTGTGAGCGTTCAAAAAAGTTTTGAATGAAAAAAACATCTTTGGTTTTATCA